TGCCTCCTCCCTCGCACCTCTCTCGCAGGCTGGACCGGTGGACATAAAAAAAGAGTCTACCATGTCGCAGCGCCGCGGGCGGGCCGGGGGCCCAAAAACACGGGCGGGCGGGCGGCTGCACTGTAGGGGGGGGGGGGCGGCGGCGGCTCAGGCCATGTTGTGGTCCTTCTCCCTCCCGCTTCTGCTCATTGCCGGTTTCGGTGTTCCTCCTCTTCCTGCTACTCCTCCTCCTCCCTCCTCCTCCTCCTCCTCCTCCTCCTCCTCCTCCTCCTCCTCCTCATCATCATCATCATCATCTGCCTTCTACCCCCCCTCTTCCTCCTCTTCCTCCTCCTTCCCTGCTGCACCCTCCTCCTCCTGACTCCTTCTCCCTACTCTCTTTCCCCTCCGCTTCTTCCTCCTTTATTATCCTTCGCCCTCCTGTTCCCTCCTCTTTTCTTCTCCCTCCTTTTCCTTCGGCTCCTTCCTGCCTTTGCTCCTCCTCCTCCTCTTCTTGGGCGCCGCCAGCCCTGGCCTTCCTCAACTCCTCCTTTCTCTCCTCCTCCTCTTCCTCCTCAACTCCAGTGAATCCACTCTCTCCTAGTTCTCTCCTCTCGCCATCTTCTCTTCTCTCCTTACTCCTTATCTCTACCTCTCCTCCCCTCTCCTCTCCTTTTTTTCCGGTTCCTCTTTCCTCTCCTCCTCCTACTCTTCCTCTCCTCCCTCTCCTCTCCTCTCTCTCCTTCCTCTCCTCTTCCTCTCGCCTTCCTCTCCTCTCCTCTCCTGCTCCTCCTCCTTCTCCTCTCCTCTCCTCTCCTATCCTTCCGTCTCCTCTCCATCTCCTATCCTATCCTCCTCTCCTCTACTATCATTCCTTCTCCTTCCCTCCTCGCCTCTCCTTCTCCTCTCTTCCTCTACTCATCCTCTCCTCCCTCTCTCCCTCCTCTCATCTCCTTCTCCTCCCGCCTCTCTTCTCCTCTCCTCTCCTCTCCTCTCCTCTCCTCTTCCTCTCCTCTACTCTCCTCTCCTCTCCTCCTCCTCTCTCCTCCTCTCCATCTCTCTCCTCTCCTCTCCTCTCCTCTCCTCTCCTCTCTACTCCTCTCTCTCCTCTCCTCTCCTATCCTCTCCTCGCCTCTCTCTCCTCTCCTCTCCTATCTCACTATCCTCTCCTCTCCTCGCCCTCTCCTCTCCTATCCCTCTCCTCTCCCTCTCCTCTCCTCTCCTCTTCCTCTCCTCTCTCCTCCTCATCCTCTCCTCTCTCCTCCCATCCCCTCCTCTCCTCCCTCACTCTCTCTCCTCTCCTACTCCTCTCCTCCTCCTCCCTCCTCCCCCCTCCCCCCCCCTCCCTCCCTCCTCTTCCTACCTCCTTCCTCCTTCCTTCCTTCCTTCTTCCTTCCTTTCCTTCCTTCTTCCTTCCTTCCTCATCCTTTCCTCCTCTTCCCCGGCTCCACACCTTCTTCCGTCCGATCCACCATCCCAACTCCTCCCCCACTCCATCTCTCCTCCCCCTCCCTCCCTTCCCCCTTCCCTCCCTCTCTCTTCTCCCTCCCCCCTTCTCCCTCCGCCCCGTCCTGGAAAAGACTGAGGATCGCGTGCCCCTCGTCTTCGCCCCAGCCTGGGCTCCACGCCGCCGCGGGGTCGGGCAGCGGCCGTGGTGGCCGACCCGGTGCGCCTCCACGGGGTGCCGCAGGGGTCGCTGGCGTGCCCTCCACGGCGTGCCGCGTGGAGGTCGGCGTGCCCTCCACGGCGTGCCCTCCACGGCGTGCCAGGGGGGGGGGGAGGACGCTGACCATGACCAGGATGTCGCGGGATCTTGCCGACGCCGATCGTTCTGGGCCTCCCAGATGGGGTCCGAATAGATGGGGTCGGAGGATCGCACCGATGCGGATCCCGATTTTCTCCACGCCGACGTCGCCGCTGCATCGCCGTCGTCGCCGATGCATCGCCGATGCAGCGGCGATGCAGCGGCGATGCGGCGAGATTCTCTGACCCCACTCACTCCGACCCCATCTGGAAGGCCTAGAATCTTGGTCATGGTCCATGCTGGCCGTTGCGGATTTGCGAGGATGGTCCAAGATTCGACGCTGACCAAGGTAAGCGGTGACCAAGGTCGACACGACGTTTCTGCGTTCAGTCTTGGTCATGGTCCCTGTGTTCTTCCCTTCCAGTTGGTGGGAGGGGCCGTCTTTGGAGAGAAAGACCAGAAGTGGCCTCTCTGGCCATGGCGAGTCTCGGCCACAACAAAGCTCCCCTTGCCCTAGATCTGCTGGAGGGCCCCAGGCCAGAGCCCCTCCCGAATCCAACGCGGGGCGCACCCCCTCCCCCCGGCCCTGCGGGGGGTTGGGGCAGGGTGGCTTCGCGGCGCGGTAGCTCATCCGATCTTTGGGGCCTCTGGTTCGTATGCCGGAGCCTGTGGGTCCCGTGTGAGATCGAGCCGTCGCAGGCTTGAGGAGCGCACGGCCTGACGAATACCGGCGTCTGCGCGCGAACATGGGCCAGGGAGGGATACATCGATATATATATATATATAGAGGTGTAGGCATTATTATGCATGTTTGTATGTATGCTTGCGTGTATGTTTGTCTATTTTGATGAATGTATGTAGGTATGTGTATGCACGTATGTATGCATGCATGTGTGTATGTGTGCATGTATGCAGGTATACATGTGCACATATATGTAGTTATATATGTATATATATATATATATATGCATATGTGTTTGCACATGCATAGGCACATGCATATTTATATGTATATGTTTATACATCTGTATGTATAGGTGTACACGTCCTTGTATGTGCGTGTGTATACGTATATGTGGGTTCGTATGTATATGTGTAGGGAACTGCATACGCATATGATTATGTATGTATGTGTATGCATATGAAGGTGATTTTGAGCATGATCATATCGATGTAGTTATTGATGTTTGTGCACGCTTATATGTTTATGTATACGTATATGTAAATGTAGATTTGCACGGGCACGTGTACGGGCATGTGCATGTATGCGTATGTGCATATGGGTGTGTACGTGCATCTGTGTATGCGTAGGTCTGTTTTCGATGTGTATATGCATATGTGTATGTCTGTGGGTATTTAATTTTATATGTGTATGCAGATGTATGTGTGTATGTACATGCATATACACATGTGTGTGCATGTATTCGTATGCACATCTGCATGTGCATACTTATATGTACATGTACGCGTACATGTACATCTACATGTATATGTACATGTATTTGTGTCTGTGCACGTATATAGGTATCTGTTTGTACGTGTATATGTTTGCGTATGCACATGCATATGCATTATACTATGTGTACGTTTACGGATCACATGTATATGTATAAGCATTGGTGTATATATATATATATATATATATGTGTGTGTATGGATCGGTTTAGGCACAGCTGCTTATATATATGTATGGTTATGTGTATGTGCGTACATCGACGAATACAACTATATGTATGTGTACAAGCAGCGAATATATGTGGTTGTGTAGGTCTACGCATACGTAGATGCATATGCATGTGTACGTGTATGTGTATGTGTATACTTATGTCTCACACATACACACATATCTATATATGTATATATGTGTATTTATATTTATATATACGTACATGCACGCGTGTGTGTACACGTGCATGTATACGTATATGTAGTTGCATGTATGTGTGTGTGCGTATGTATTGTTTTTTGTACATGTATAGACAGAAGGATACGTTTATGTACACGCTCATGTATACGTATATGTACATGCACATGCGTTTTTTTTGAATCTGCCTGCACATGACTTTGTTTCTGCACATGTATGTGTGTATGTATAGATATAGGTACATGTGCATGCATGGGGATATGCATACGTATACGTACATGTACATGTATTGGTACTTGTATTTATATATGTACGTGTATGTGTATGCGATTCTGAGTTTGTAGTTACATATGTATATGCACGTGCACATGAATTTGTTTACGTGGACACATGTCACATTATAGCTACTGGTTTGCATCTATGCACATATATGCCAGCATATATATATATATATGTATATATATATGTATATATATACATTTATATACATATACACATACACCCAGTCATGAATACATACATGCATGCATGCATACATCTATAACATGGGGCAGTTTTTTGGGTCTCTTGAGGGCCTCTTGGGAGCATCTTCGGGATCTCGTGGAGATTCCTCGGGGCCCCTTGGAGGCCTCTGGGGGTCTCTTGGGGCCTCTTGGGGCCTCTCGGGGCCGAGTGCTCAAAAGGCCGTTCGGGTCCCCCGTCGGGCCCCCCTCTTGGAGCCGTCTTGGAGGCCTCTTGAACCGTCTTGGAGGCCTCTTAGGCCGTCTTGGTGCCCTCGTGCGCCGTTTTGGGGCCCTAGTGGAGGCATTTTGGGCCGTCTTGGGTGTTGCTTGGGTTGTCTTGGAGCGTCGGGAATCCGAAAAGGTGAGAACGCCCAAATCTTGCGAAAGCCTAAGGAAAACCAATGACTGTTGGCTCTTGGGGGCCTCTTGTGAGGCCTCTTGGAGGCCTCTCGGGGCTCTCGGGGCGTCTCGGAGGCCTCTTGGGCTTTGTTGATGCTGTCTATGGCGTCTTGGACCGGTCGTTCGGCGATTCGGGGCCCTCTCGGACCGTCTTGGAGGCCTCTTGGGGCCCTCTTGGCCTCTTGGAGGCGATTGGGGCCCTCTTGGAGGGCTCTCTAGGGCCTGAAAGAGTCATGCGACAAGCCACCCCGGAGAACGCAAGAGCTGTGGCCCTCTGGGGTCTGGGTCCCGTCAGAATTTTTCATCCAGAGGACTGAGGAATATAACAAGGGACCTGAGGACACGCCCACACCGTGCCCGAAGGCACGGTGGCGGATATATGCTCATACCACGACCCGTCCCTCGTCTCCACGGCCGCATTCGCCTCGAACTCTTTGTCATAAGGCGCCCACGGTTAGGAACTCTGGAGTCGATCCCATACTCGAGTTCGAGTTGTAAGAGTGGAGAAATC